GTGTGTGTGTGTGTGTGTGTGTGTGTGTGTGTGTGTACTTGCCTAGTTGTACTCACCTAGTTGTGCTTGCGGGGGTTGAGCTCTGGCTCTTTGGTCCCGCCTCTCAACCGTCAATCCACTGGTGAACAGATTCCTGAGCCTATTGGGCTCTATCATATCTACATTTGAAACTGTGTATGGAGTCTGCCTCCACCACATCACTGCCTAATGCATTCCATTTATTAACTACTCTGACACTGAAAAAGTTCTTTCTAACGTCCCTGTGGCTCTTTTGAGTACTCAGTTTCCACCTGTGTCTCCTTGTTTCCGTACCACTGGTGTTGAATAGTTTATCATTCTGTACCCGGTCATTTCCTCTGAGAATTTTTTTAGGTAGTGATCATGTCTCCCATTTATTTTTCTGTCTTCCAGTGTTGTAAGGTGCATTTCACGCAGCCTTTCCTCGTAACTGATGCCTCTTAGTTCTGAGACTAGCCTAGTGGCATATCTCTGAACTTTTTCCAGCTTCGTCTTGTGCCTGACTAGGTACGGACTTCATTCCGGAGCCACATACTCCAAAACTGATCTTACGTATGTGGTATACAAAGTTCTGAATGGTTCTTTACACAGGTTCCTGAAGACAGTTGTGATGTTAGCCAGCCTCGCATGCGCCGAAGACGTCATTCGTTTTATGTGCGCTTCAGGAGAGAAGTCTGGTGTGATATCAACTCCTAGATCTTTCTCTGTGTTCGTTTCATGAAGGAATTAATCTCCCATTCGGTACCCTGAGTCTGGCCTCCTGTTTTCACCGCCAAGTTTCTTTGCCTTATATTTACTCGGGTTGAACTTTAGTTACCATTTGTTGGACAATTCTTTCAGTTTGTCTAGGTCATCTTGTAGCCTCATACTATTTTCCTGTCTTAATCCTCATAATTTTTGCTTCATCAAGAAACAATGAGAGGAACTATTCTATATCCTCTGGAAGACCATTTACATATATCAAAAATACTATAGGTCCAAGAATTGAACCCTGCGGGACTCCACTGGTGACGCCTCGCCTGGCGAGGTTCGACAGTAATCCTGTCCCTGTTTCAGGACTTCACCTGGGTGATGCTTTGTCCACTACGTGCAAGTCACTTGTAAAGACTTTCTACTCTGTGTGAGATCAATCACTTTGGGTGCTATAATAACACTTCTCAACACTATTCTCTGTTTTGTAGTTCCAGTTCTACTTAAGTAGAACCATGCTGACCCACACTGCCCGCTGTGGCATTGGTGTTGCCACAAAAAATCTTTCTTTTTATTTATCTAATCACACGCAATAAGAATTCACTATGATACGATGTTCACTGCACTGTTGTACACTGTGTGAGATCAAAACTAAGTTATGATCGCTATAACACTTAAATATCCGGATATTGATGTTAAATTCACGAACACCTGCTGACACGTTCCCCCCCCCCCCTTAGCTGACGACTGTGTATGTGTGTGTGTGTGTGTGTGTGTGTGTGTGTGTGTGTGTGTGTGTGTGTGTGTGTGTGTGTGTGTGTGTGTGTGTGTGTGTGTGTGTGTGTGTGTGTGTGTGTGTGTGTGTGTGTGTGTGTGTGTGTGTGTGTGTGTGTGTGTTTGTGTGTGTGTGTGTGTGTGTGTTAATTATTTCATTTGCTATGAGAGGTTATTAATACAAATTGCGCAGCACAGTGGGCAATGAATTTAAATTATCTTTTGGCTGTTTTGACCCTTGTACAGGACTGGTCTGGGGAGACTTGCCGGGGGGAATACTTTTTTGTTGCGGCTCTGAGGAGTAAATAGTTTTATATAACTTTTCTTATGATATAGTGGTAAAGTAAGAACTTAAGATACATTGTTGATTATTATTATCAGTGTATCTTATTTTATGATGTATATTCTGAGGTGTCAAGTGACTTTATAATTGTCAGTTAATAAGGGAATTTAGACTTGCCAAGCCATTGGGACTTTTTAGTCAATGCTGATTTGAATTTTCCAGTCCTTTGAGGACTTAGGTTTCGATTGAGTCCCAGTGACTTTAAGTTTGTTAAGTTCTATTGACTTTAAGTTGGCCAGTCTTATATACTTTAACTTTCTCGACTCTAGTGAGACTTTGATATTGAGAGTGTATAGTGACTTTGAAATTTTCACAAACTTCAAATTGATTTAAGTTTATGACTACTTTAACATTGAAGCCTTTAGCTGCAGCCTAGTGTACCAATGTTACTAGGTTTTAGTACCTTTAGCTTATTACTAGTTTAATTTAGCAGCAGCTAGCTGAAGTTTGTTGAGCTAATGTCAAGTGAAGTTTCATGTGCTTTAAATATATTCACCGAATAAACTGGGAACATTTTATTATATATTTTATACCATCCCTAGAACTAAATATTAGAGCCAAGTGAGCTTACTGTAGGTAGTGAGGAGTCTGGAGCTTTGAGCCTTGTTGACGTGTATGAGTCTACTGTCTCATTGGTCAGTACTGCCCGCTGTAGGCCTACTGTCTCATTGGTCAGTACTGCCCGCTGTAGGCCTACTGTCTCATTGGTCAGTACTGCCCGCTGTAGGCCTACTGTCTCATTGGTCAGTACTGCCCGCTGAAGGCGTACTGTCTCATTGGTCAGTACTGCCAGCTGAAGGCGTACTGTCTCATTGGTCAGTACTGCCCGCTGTAGGCCTACTGTCTCATTGGTCAGTACTGTCCGCTGTAGGCCTACTGTCTCATTGGTCAGTACTGCCCGCTGTAGGCCTACTGTCTCATTGGTCAGTACTGCCCGCTGTAGGCCTACTGTCTCATTGGTCAGTACTGTCCACTGTAGGCCTACTGTCTCATTGGTCAGTACTGCCCGCTGTAGGCCTACTGTCTCATTGGTCAGTACTGCCCGCTGTAGGCCTACTGTCTCATTGGTCAGTACTGCCCGCTGTAGGCCTACTGTCTCATTGGTCAGTACTGCCCGCTGTAGGCCTACTGTCTCATTGGTCAGTACTGCCCGCTGTAGGCCTACTGTCTCATTGGTCAGTACTGCCCGCTGTAGGCCTACTGTCTCATTGGTCAGTACTGTCCACTGTAGGCCTACTGTCTTAATAGTCAGTACTGTCCACTGTAGGCCTACTTTCTCATTGGTCAGTACTGTCCACTGTAGGCCTACTGTCTTATTAGTCAGTACTACCCGCTGTAGGCCTACTGTCTCATTGGTCAGTACTACCCGCTGTAGGCCTACTGTCTCATTGGTCAGTACTGTTCACTGTAGGCCTACTACCTTATTGGTCAGTACTGCCCACTGTAGGCCTACTGTCTCATTAGTCAGTAATGCCCGCTGTAGGCCTACTGTCTCATTGGTCAGTACTGCCCGATGTAGGCCTACGGTCTCATTGGTCAGTACTGCCCGCTGTAGGCCTACGGTCTCATTGGTCAGTACTGCCCGATGTAGGGCTACGGTCTCATTGGTCAGTACTGCCCGATGTAGGCCTACTGTCTCATTGGTCAGTACTGCCTGCTGAAGGCGTACTGTCTCATTGGTCAGTACTGCCTGCTGAAGGCGTTCTGTCTCATTGGTCAGTACTGCCCGCTGAAGGCCTACGGTCTCATTGGTCAGTACTGCCAGCTGAAGGCGTACTGTCTCATTGGTCAGTACTGCCAGCTGAAGGCGTACTGTCTCATTGGTCAGTACTGCCAGCTGAAGGCGTACTGTCTCATTGGTCAGTACTGCCTGCTGAAGGCGTACTGTCTCATTGGTCAGTACTGCCAGCTGAAGGCGTACTGTCTCATTGGTCAGTACTGCCAGCTGAAGGCGTACTGTCTCATTGGTCAGTACTGCCAGCTGAAGGCGTACTGTCTCATTGGTCAGTACTGCCTGCTGAAGGCCTACGGTCTCATTGGTCAGTACTGCCTGCTGTACTGTCTCATTGGTCAGTACTGTCTCATTGGTCAGTACTGCCTGCTGCTGAAGGCCTACGGTCTCATTGGTCAGTACTGCCTGCTGTAGGCCTACGGTCTCATTGGTCAGTACTGCCAGCTGAAGGCGTACTGTCTCATTGGTCAGTACTGCCTGCTGAAGGCCTACGGTCTCATTGGTCAGTACTGCCAGCTGAAGGCGTACTGTCTCATTGGTCAGTACTGCCAGCTGAAGGCCTACGGTCTCATTGGTCAGTACTGCCAGCTGGAGGCGTACTGTCTCATTGGTCAGTACTGCCTGCTGAAGGCCTACGGTCTCATTGGTCAGTACTGCCTGCTGAAGGCAGCTACTGTCTCATTGGTCAGTACTGCCAGCTGAAGGCGTACTGTCTCATTGGTCAGTACTGCCTGCTGAAGGCCTACGTGGTCAGTACTGCCAGCTGAAGGCCTACGGTCTCATTGGTCAGTACTGCCAGCTCATTGGTCAGTACTGCCAGCTGTCTCATTGGTCAGTACTGCCAGCTGAAGGCCTACGGTCTCATTGGTCAGGCTGAAGGCCTACGGTCTCATTGGTCAGTACTGCCAGCTGAAGGCGTACTGTCTCATTGGTCAGTACTGCCTGCTGAAGGCCTACGGTCTCATTGGTCAGTACTGCCAGCTGAAGGCGTACTGTCTCATTGGTCAGTCTCTGTCTCATTGTACTGCCTGCTGAAGGCCTACGGTCTCATTGGTCAGTACTCATTGGTCAGTACTGCCAGTACTGTACCGTATCCTGAAGGCGTACTGTCTCTGTCAGTACTGCCTGCTGAAGGCGTACTGTCTCATTGGTCAGTACTGCCAGCTGAAGGCGTACTGTCTCATTGGTCAGTACTGCCTGCTGAAGGCGTATTGTCTTACTAGTAAATACTTTGCAGTAGTGCACCAGTATATATTCTGTCTTACAGGTTAACACTGTTATCAGTAGGCATACTGTTGCACTGGTTAGTATTGTTACTAGTAGGCCTACTGCCTCTCTGTTCTCAGTGCTGGTGAGTCAGACAAACAACAACAAGTGTTGCACCAAACACTAAGACACACTGAGAACCGCTCGCTGATGTTTACTAAATAAATACAAAATACATTATAAGAAAACGTTTATTAGCAGTGACTTTCCAGAGTGTTTACTCGCGATGTTTGACTCATTGGAGCTTTATTATGATGTTGGCTACACTGACACCCACTAAGCTTTACTTACAACGCGATAAACTGATATTCATGCAGCTTTACTTTTATCGTCACCGATATTGATATTCAGTGTGCTTTATTTACGACAAGATAAAGTGACATGTATACAGCATCAGTTATAACGTCAGCAATACTCTAGTTCACTAAGCTTTACTTGCAACATGATTAACTAACATCCATATAGCTTCACTTATAACGTCAGATATACTGACATACACAAATCTTTAATTACATGATAAATTGACATCCAAACAGCTTCCCATATAACGTGAACTATAAAGAGATACATCCAGTTTCACTTGGCAGATATACTGACATCCATTACCTATAGTGGGCAAGATATACTGACATCCATTATCTACATATGGCAAGATATACTGACATCAATTATCTACATATGGCAAAATATACTGACATTCATTACCTACAGATGGCAAGATTTACCGACATACATTACCTTCAGATAGCAAGATATAATGATATATATTCAATTTCACTTGGCGTATATACTGACATTGATACAGCTTCAAGTGTGACAGCAGCTATACAGCCAGACAACAAAAATGAAGGTTTAAAAATTCTCAAAATTGAAATCCAGTTCATTTCCTTCTGGGGCACAAGGGCAGGGCTGGCGGTAACACAGGCAGGTGGGCATCTTCAACGGTCCTGCAAGGAAGAGACGAGTCATTAGTCATCATGTACCGTCGTGTAAGGTAAGGTGAGACAAGGCCAACCAGGGGTCATCAGGGGTCTGCCTGCATGACAATATTGTACTTGATCAGGTTCTGAGGAAAAGAAGTTGGGATATCAGGAAAGAGCGAAGGAACGGTGCCGAGTCTCGGTTACTGAACCTTACAAGGAGCCAGGCTGTTGCTCGACCGACCAGTCCAAGTGGATGAACTGCCTTCCACAAGATATCACCTCCCGGAGACACGAAAGCTCGCAGACAAAGATCACACGTGATAATACACACATACACACCCAACGGGTGAGCAGTACGAGGGACATGATCACCACATGCAAGATTCTCAAAGGAATTGATAGGGTAGATAATGACATGCTATTTAACCCAAGGGGCACACGCACTATGGGGGCACAGGTGGAAAGTGAGTGCCCAAATGAGCCACAGAGATATTAGCAAAAAAAACTTTTTTAGTGTCAGAGTAGTTGACAAATGGAATGCATTAGGAAGTGATGTGGTGGAGGGTGACTCTATATACAGTTTCAAGTGTGGGTATGATAGAGCCCAATAGGCTCAGGAACCTGTACACCTGTTGATTGACAGTTGAGAGGCGGGACTAAAGAACAAGAGCTCAACCCCCGCAAGCACAAATAGGTGAGTATAAATAGGTGAGTACACATACACTCACACACACACACAGGGCTAGCTGGCTGAGTGGACAGCGCTCTAGACTCGTGGACCTAGGGACCGGGGGTTCGATCCCAGCAGCCGCCGGAAAAACAAATAGGCAGAGTTTCCTTCACCCTGATTCACCTGTTACCTAGCAGTAAATAGGTACCTGGGAGTTAGACAGCTGCTAGGGGCTGCTTCCTGGGTGTCCGTTTGTGAAAAAAATAGTAGAGAATAACAGTTGAGAGGCTGGCTGAAAGAGCAGAGCTCCACCCCCGAAATGTTGAACTTGGGACACACACACACACACACATGTGGTGGAGGGTGTGGAATGGAATGTAAATGGAATGCATTAGGAAGTGATGTGGTGGAGGCTGACTCCATACACAGTTTCAAATGTAGATATGATAGAGCCCAGTAGGCTCCGGAATCTGTACACCAGTTGATTGACAGTTGAGAGGCGGGACCAAAGAGCCAGAGTTCAACCCCCGCAAGCACAATTAGGTGAGTATAATTAGGTGAGTACACACACACACACACACACACACACACACACACACAGGGGGACTGGTAGCCTGGTGGAAAGCGCGCAGGACTCGTAATTCTGTGGCGTGGGTTGGATTCCCGCAACAGGCAGAAACAAATGGGCAAAGTTTCTTTCACCCTGAATACCCCTGTTACCCTGCATTAAATAGGTACCTGGGAGTTAGTCAGCTGAGTACAACTAGGTGAGTACACACACACACACACACACACACACACACACACACACACACACACACACACACACACACACACACACACACACACATCTCTTTGCACATTAGAGCAAGGACAAGTTCCAGAGATAAGAGAAGGAATAATTAACCAGGCACCACTTAAGGAATTTGAGATTACCAGTGGGGATGTAAGGAAGCATTTGGTAGAGTTGGATGTGACAAAGGCTATAGGCCCAGATAGAATATCGCCATGGATACTAAAGGAAAGAGCAGAAACACTGTGCCTGCCACTCTCTATGGTATAACATATCACTGGTAACAGGTGAACTGCCAAAAATTTGGAAGACGGCAAACGCAGTTCCGATATACAGACAGGAGGCACTGGCCAGTGTCCCTAACTTGCATACCATGAAAGTTATTGAAGAAAATTATGCGAAAAAAGCTAGTGGAACGTCTGGAGCGAAGAAACTTTGTGACACAACTCCAAAATGGTTTCAGGTATGGCAAGTCATGCCTCACAGGATTAATTGAATTCTACGATCAGGCAATAAAGAGAGGGGTGGGCAGACTGCATATTTTTGGATTGCCAGAAAATCTTTGACACAGTACCACACCAGAGACTAGCGCGAAAACTGGAGATGCAGGCAGGAGTGAAAGGGTAGGTACTCCCTTAGATAAGGGAGTACCTAAGTATCAGAAGACATCGAGTCACTGTGATGGGTGAAGTCTCAGACTGGTGAGGTCTCAGACTGGTGAGGTCTCAGACTGGGGTAACCAGTGGAGTCCCACAGGGTTCAGCCCTTGGGCCCATACTGTTTCTGATATATGTAAATGATCTACCTGAGGATATAGAATCATTCTTCTCATTGTTTGTTAATGATGCAAAAACAAATGAGAAGGATTAAGACGGAGGAATTATCTTGTATGAGGCTACAAGATGAACTAGACAGACTGAATGAATGGTCCAACAAATGGCTACTAAAGTTCAACTTGAGTAAATGTAAGGTAATAAAACTAGGCAGTGGAAACAGTAGGGCACACACAGGATACAGAACGGGAGATGAAGTCCATCATGAAAAGGACAGAGATAAATTGTAGGAGTTATATCACGCCAAACCAGTCTCCTGAAGCCCACATCAAAATCATAACATTGGTGGCATATGCGAGGCTGGCTAACATCAGAACTGCTTTCAGAAACCTGAGTAAGGAATCATTCAGAACCTTGTGTACCACATAAGTACCACGTGGAAGCTGAGTATCCAAATGTGTCACAGAGACATAGGAAAGAACATTTTATGTGTCAGAGTAGTTAGTAAATGGAATGCAATAGGAAGTGATGTTGTTGAGGCAGATTTCATACACAGTTTCAAATGATATGACAGAGCTCGAGAGGGTCAAGAATCTGTACACGAGTAGATTGACGGTTGAGAGGCGGGACCAAAGAGCCAGAGCTCAACCCCCGCAAGCACAGCTACATGAGTCAAACTAGGTGAGTACACGAAGCTTTAATACCTACAAGGAAGGATTATCCAGAAAGAAGCATGATAGCAATGGGACCAAGCAATGGTAAGTAGAACATGGGAAGATTTCATAATGAACCAGTTTACCTGAATATTTTGTTGTGATAGGTGTTGTGAAGTTGCTGTGAAGGTTGTTATGATGTTTGTTTGTATGAAGGTTGTAGTGAAGTATGTTGTTGTGAAGATTGTAGTGAAGTATGTTGTTGTGAAGGTTGTAGTGAAGTATGTTGTTGTGAAGGTTGTAGTGAAGTATGTTGTTGTGAAGGTTGTAGTGAAGTATGTTGTTGTGATGGTTGTAGTGAAGTATGTTGTTGTGAAGGTTGTAGTGAAGTATGTTGTTGTGAAGGTTGTAGTGAAGTATGTTGTTGTGAAGGTTGTAGTGAAGTATGTTGTTGTGAAGGTTGTAGTGAAGTATGTTGTTGTGAAGGTTGTAGTGAAGTATGTTGTTGTGATGGTTGTAGTGAAGTATGTTGTTGTGAAGGTTGTAGTGAAGTATGTTGTTGTGAAGGTTGTAGTGAAGTATGTTGTTGTGAAGGTTGTAGTGAAGTATGTTGTTGTGATGGTTGTAGTGAAGTATGTTGTTGTGAAGGTTGTAGTGAAGTATGTTGTTGTGAAGGTTGTAGTGAAGTATGTTGTTGTGAAGGTTGTAGTGAAGTATGTTGTTGTGATGGTTGTAGTGAAGTATGTTGTTGTGAAGGTTGTAGTGAAGTATGTTGTTGTGAAGGTTGTAGTGAAGTATGTTGTTGTGATGGTTGTAGTAAAGTATGTTGTTGTGAAGGTTGTAGTGAAGTATGTTGTTGTGAAGGTTGTAGTGAAGTATGTTGTTGTGAAGGTTGTAGTGAAGTATGTTGTTGTGATGGTTATTGTAAAATATGTTGATATGAAGGTTGTTTTGAAGAATGTTGCATTGTAGGTTGTTTTGAAGAATGTTGCATTGTAGGTTGTTTTGAAGAATGTTGCATTGTAGGTTGTTATGAATTGTATTGCTATGAAGTGTACTGCTCTGAAGTTGTTTGCTGTGTAGCTCTTAAGTAAGTTGCTGCTAAGAGAGCTGCTGTGAAGTATGTTGCTGTGAAGTAAGTTGCTGTACTCACTTAATTATACTCACCTACATGTGCTTATTGGGATTGAGCTTTGACTCTTTGGTCCCGCCTCTCAAATGTCAGTCAACTGGAGCTCAGATTTCTGAGTCTATTGGGCTCTATTTTATCTACATTTGAAATTGTGTATGCAGTCTGCCTCCACCATATATAACTGCCTAATGCATTCCATTTGACACTGAAAAAAAATAAAAAATCATGTAAACGTCCCTGTGTCTCATTTGGGTACTCAGTTTACCCTTGTTGGTGTTCCACCCATGCTTAATAGTTTACCTTTGTTTACCCTGTCAATTCCTCTGAGAATTTTGTTGGTGGTGATCATCTTTCCCCGAACTCGTCTGTGTTTCAGGGACGTGAGGTTTAATTTCCCGTATAATTTACTCATAACTCGTACCTCTGTTCTTGAACAAGTCTGGTGGCATACCTTTGAGCCTTCTCCAAATTTGTCTTGGGTTTAACTAAGTATGGACTCCAGGCTGGAGGTATATACTCCAGGATTGGTTTGACATAAGTTTTATTTTTTTATTTATGCATATACAAGAATGTACATTGGGAATATGAGGATACATAATATGGTAATTACAGTCTTGTAAAGCCACTAGTACGCGCAGCGTTTCGGGCAGTATACAGTGGTATACAAGGTCTTGAACGATTTCTTACAGAAGTTTCTAACGGCAGTTCTTATGTTGGCCAATCTAACATATGTTGCTGATGATATTCTTTTGATGCAGGCTTCTGGGGACAGGTTTAGGAGTGGTATCAACACAGATGTTTCTCTCTACTTGATTCTTGCAGGATTTCACTTCCCAGATGGTACCTTGTGTTCGTCCTCCTGCTCCCTTCACCCTAATTTCACTAATTTACCCTTTCATGAGTTGAACTTTAGTAGCCATTTTCTAAACCATTCTTCAAGTTCGTCCAAGTCGTCCTGTAGTCTTTATCTATTTTCATCTGTCTTGATTCTTCTCATAATTTT